TCCCCCCCCCCCTTCTTGGGAGGCTGGAGGAGATTTTCCTGGCTCCTTTGAATAAGGGACTGCATTTCTCACCGTGGGCTGTGGCTATCTGTGCTGAACACCTCCCCACCCCTTCCCTGGCACATTCTTCAGAATCACTGGTTCCTCGCTTCCCTCCTTAGAGCTGCCCTGCAAGGATTCTATTTGGTCTTTAGAGAGCGCCAGCTCTGGCCTGTCCAGGTTGGGGTTTCCTGTAACTGTCTGTAGCCAAATCCCCTTGCAGCCTTACCCCAGGGACCTTCTTTGTGGCTGAATTCCTGCAGCCACCATCCATAGCACCTTCCTTCCCTCCCCAGCTGAAGGCTCTTCAGCAGCCATTGAGAGCAACAGCTGCTGCCTCTTTGACTCAGTCTATGTCAAGATTCCCCTACATCCTCCTCATCAGGAGTCTTGCTATTCCCAGAAAGTCTGAAGCAGGGCCAAAGATCAGGACCACAAGGTTCTGCCAGATGTGGCCCCTAGCAAGGTCTTGAAGAAAGGGGAGGAAGTGAGCCCAAGAAGATGAGAAAATGTGTGTTCTCTCTGCATGCAGAGGGATGCTGCTGCCCTCGGTGGGCATTTTTTCTGCCCACCTGGACCACAGGTGGCCCCCTGGTTGCCCCCTGGTTGCCACACTGCGGCCCTCATCCCTGCCAACTGGGCCTAGCCCTGGGCTGTGAAGGCCTCAGAAGACCCTTAATTCCTCCTAATGTATGTCACATTGGTCTCTGAGTGCAGGCAGCCTGTGGAAGGAACTCCTAGAGAGCATGGCCGGGCATCCTTCCCTCCTGCAGCCCAGCTCTCAGAGGTGCTCCAGCCATGCCTGGCCGGGCAGGTAATAAAGGCATGAAACTGCAGGATTTGTGAAGGGGCCAGCCCCCGAGCAACAGAAGCCCCATCTTGTCCCTGGGAGAAGATGGACAACCTTTGCGCCCTGCGAAGCTGCTCTCTGGTGAGCCATGATCTCACTAGTTTCCACTGGATGCCCTACCAACATCCCCTAAAGGCTGCGACTTCTAGTCTTCGACTCCTGCCTCCATTGTGAGCCAAATGCTGATCCCTCCTACAGTAGGCAGCTGTCTGCTCTCTGAACAAGGCCAAGAGCCTGGCTTCTTTTTTGTTCTGTATTTTCCTTTTAGTCCTCCCACTCCCAGGCAGCTCTGGGGACCTTATTAAGATAATGTAATGTCATTAGCAGTGGCAGCAGGAAGAGAGTTGGTCTCAGACCATCAGGTTACCAAGAAGTCTGGGAGGATGGTGCTGGGAAAGCATTAGCCTGAGTGGGGGGCCTTCGTGGAGGCCGAGGACCCGAGGCAAGACCTGCGGCCCCTTCCTTTCATTCGGGATGAGCTCATGGGTATGGGCACATCTTTCTCGACGATGAATTCTCCCGGGTGGAGGGGGGAATGCAGATCAAGGTTTGGGTGCACGTGACCAGGCTAGTCCCTGGTGCAGGGTACAGGGCAAACAAGGGGATCAGGGTGAGACAGGACCATGTGGGATTTGGAGTTGCGGGTTCTGAAAACTGGCCCTGTACCAGCAGGTCACTGGTCAGTCGTCAAATGCTCCAGGAGCAGCCACTCCACATTCAGTGTTGTGCACTGAGCAGAGCACAAAAGCGTCTGGCAAGTTCTTATCAAAGCAGGTATCAGTATCATCCGCACCACGTGCTGAATGAGGACCAAGGAAGCAGCACCTGGCACACGAAAGAGCTGCTGAGCCAGTGACTGTAGAGTCAGTATCTCTCAGTGGACTGTGGCACCTTGGAAGGAGCGCTAGAGCGATAATCGGGAACGCCGGGTTCAGGGCCTGGTTCTGCCTCTAACTAGCAGTGTGACTTTGGCCAAGTCTCCTTCCCTCTCTTGGCCTCAATTTC